AAGTCAGGAGGTAGAACTGTTTAAGGAACTCCTCGTCAACAGCATCTGTCTCGCCTCAGGTGAGTAAACCCACGACAACCTCTCAGCATCTCTCACCTACTGGAGAGTGGTCAACTACTCTTGAATTCCGTAGGGTTCCGCACGTTAACTAGATGTTCACAGCAAATGACTGGCGGGGTTGCGGACTGGAAACGAAACCACCTCGACCAGGATTGTCACCAACAGCTGCACCTACTGCCTAAACATTACGAATAAGCTGATGCGTTCGACAACAATTTCAAAGATAAATGAACATCATCGGCGATATCGCTTTTCATATACAACTATTTTGCAAGGAAAAAGCATCCCCTGCTCAATCATCAAGGACCACCATCACCTCCCCATCAACATCGATTTCTCGTAAACGCCCTCCCTCATCTTCCTCGTCCTCTTCCATTTCTGTGGAACCGTCTTCCTCATCCTCTTCATCCACCATCTCGCCTCCCTTTCGATTGAGGATGGAAAGGAGACGCCTGCTGCTTGCGGAGTTCCCGTACGAGGAGGAGGAGGAAGATGATGTGAATGAGGAAGATGGTACGAATTGTAGGATGAGGCGTGGAACGATACTGGCTAGTCCATCCTCCACCAGATGTGACTGGACCAGAGCGCGCAGCATCCCCGCGCTTAGCGCAAAGACGCCGTCATTGCTCCCTCCTATGCCTCCACCGCCTCTCCACGCTAAGTAGGCGCGGAGGCGAACACCGCGACGCGTCTCTGACAGACAGAACGCCATTTCTCGAGGAGTCAGGAGACGCAGAAGACCCTCTAGCGGTGGTGGTGGCAGTGAAGACGGAGGAGGAGAGGATGGAGGATTATTGGGTTTTAGAGTGATGGAGAACTGGGCAAGACGGGTGAGGAGGAGTTCCGTGGCGTTGTAGAGACGACTCGAGGTGTCCACACGTCGATGGCCGAGGTCCACTGCCAGCTGGGGAGAAATCATTCGCTGATACTACTGAAGCACAAATTTTGGCATACCACTTCAAACCTTATACTACTGTTGCATTTCTAGAGGCTCAAACCTTACATGATGCTATTTAAATGGTAATTTTAGTCGATAACACTAAAATTACTGCTATTGCCTTGTAAATAAATAGTTGAAACTCTCCAAACTCCGATATTTCAGTAGACGACTACTTCCACTATCACTACTTCGTCTTCCACTGCATTAACAAATTTCTAGAGACTCGTATATTTATTAATTGAATATTTCCCATTAAAACGTTCCACTACTATGAGAGTACATCGATGGAATTCGCTGAGTTTCACAAAATACCGCCTTGGGCATTTCAGCAAACGTCACCTACTTTTCGAACACGCTGCCGTGCAACAGCGGGAATGCCGGGAAGGGGAAAGACGCCGAGAACTGCTTGAACATCGGCATCGTCGGTGAAGGTGGACAGAGGAACACAGGGGGCGAGGACGGAGGCCCACGTGACCTCCAGTCCTGAAAGAAGGCCCAACAGCAGTCGCATTGCTGGCAGAGGAAGCCTCCTCGCTGCATCATCCGTGGCGTTTTCTACATGGTGGGAGAAAAGCCGAGATAATGCCTCTCAGACGTATTAGGTTGCTGAGATGTCAGTGAGAGGTGAACATTAACAAGAAACTACATCTTCAAAACGAAGCCAGTCACTGAAATAAGTGATTTTAACGGTGAAGTAGATGCAGGATCGGAAACTAATGTATCACTCTGTTACAAGTTGGTGTTCATGTCTGTAGACTTTGATGATGCTAAATATTCAAGTAGAATAGCCCGTATGAGTAGGCCAGGAATACGGCATGCACGTTCATGGATGCATAGATAAGAAAATCTCCCCTAACCTTCCACAGTTAGCGACGCCGATGGAGGAGGCTGCAACAGGAGTTCTAAGAACCCCCATAAAACCCGTTCGCTATTGGAAGGCGAGGAGAGTTTCCAATCGGGCAGGAAGGCTCGTAGAAGAACAAGAATGCGTTCCAAGCCCAAGCCCCATGGCTGTTGAAAGTTGGGAGGATTCAATGTGCAGGTCTGAACGTTCGTGTGCGGAAGTTGTAGTCCATGTGGTAGGAGAGTGTCTTCCAGTGCCCTCCCGAAGTAGTGCTGATGGGTGACGTTGACACCAGACGCTGAAGTCGATGACGAGATCAATCGCCGAACCAGCTGGATCCAAAGGCAAGTGGAAGGCTTCCAAACTGATAATTCATCACCTTGAGAAGCCTTTGAGTTCAAAGGAGTTCGACGGATCAACTGACCCTTAACGGACGTCGTTTTAAAGGTAGGTTCTGGAGGAGGAGGGGGTGGATTGGCTAGAAGAAGACCCGATGGTCTATCATCATTAGGAAGGATAGAAGCAGGAGTTGCTTCAAAGAGCAGCGACGTCTTTGTTGTCTAAAAGTAGAAAGAGGGTCAATAAATCTGATCTCTATCAGTACATCACTTACCGAAAACTGATCGCACGCCGCCTGAGCAATACAAACTAATGCGGAGTCTCGAACCAATCCTTCCAACTCTGCTAAATTCTCCAACAGATCCTTTATTCGCCGAAAGGCTCGGATAATTAAGTCTTGAAGCTCCGCGTTCGCTCGATCTAACCTTTCCATGAGGGAGATTAGGAGGTAAGCCAGTCGTTGACCGACACAAATACTATCACCAACAGATAGGCGTATCGGAGAAGACTTCTCAACAGACTCAAGAAGATGTAGTACCACCTCCAGACTCTATGGAAATAAACGATTAAAGTGTTAAAAAATTTAACTCCACAGTACACCGGCCATACCTTCAGTTCGGCCTCTTCAACAAGACCAGGAAGAAAAGCGACGAAACGTGGTAGCAAAGCGATCACTGCAGGACTTAGTTGCGGCCCCATGTCACTACCTTCTCGCTGCTCACGTCGAACGAGCCAAAGGAGATTGACCAGCGCTTTTCTTTGCTCCTCCCATGTCGCAACGGCAATAGTATCCAAAACGTCACGTAGGCAGTGGCGCAATAGCTCCTGCGGAGCAGAGCCGGGTCCTAGATTAGCAGATGTCCATTCGGAGAGGAGAGGGAGGAAGAATAGAAGGGGACAGCGAGCTTTGTTGGGGTTGTGGGGACCCTCACCCGCATTCCAGAGGATCATGTTTCCTAAAAGCGTGCATGAAAGAATTTCTACTTATAATAATTTAGGTATATTATCAATTTCTATTGCACATAGCAAACTGACTAAAGAGGGTTTGTGCCAGATGACTATTGCGGGTGTAGCAGGAGTGGAGGACGAGCATAAGGCCAGCATAGTAGGAGCCTCTCTTGGTAAGGTGCTGCATAAGTACACCACCTGTGCCGCCTCCGCCGCAAACGGTGATGGTGGAAGAGAATAAGGAATCGGGGCTTCTGTTATGTTCAAGGAGGGTTCGACCGAGGAAAAAGCGGGGGATTTCACTATCAGGCATAGACCTGCAACTTGAAGAGGGGATAAAACGGAACAAAACTACCAATAAAGAAGCGTAGAACCATAATGAAGAGTAAACCATACACATACACTGCAGCCTCGTGAGTTCGAAGGCAGAGGAGACGAAGGATGGCCTGAGCGGAGGATACGATTGCGGAAGACAACGAGGAAGACGACTCCAGACGTAGAAGGAGTTCCAGGCAGTCACAACCACATTCCTCTGTAGCAGAAATTTGATGTGATCATCCGCCTCACCATTCAGATTTCAAGTTATTTAAACACAAAACAGTGTAGTTATAGAGCATCTAGAGTAAAAAGGAACTAATTGATGGATTTAAAAAGTTTATCAATAGTAGTATCCAATTCAGTCGAATAAGTAGTAAAGGCGATCAAGGGAGGCCAAGGCAATTTGTTTCACAGATTCCCATAATGAAGGATGCTGAGAAGTTGTCGTAGGATCACTCACCTGAGGCGAGACAGATGCTGTTGACAAGGAGTTCCTTAAACAGTTCTACCTCCTGACTCGGAAGCACTCTGAACAGACCCTCCACAGTCGACTCCAGTGTGTGCGCATCTGCCTCCTTTGCCATCTTGTCTACGTAGGTACGAAGTGTGAAGAGAACAGTGGAGCGTATTGCAGTGCACGCTGCCACCAAACAGCGCACTTGTTCAGAGTGAGGTGGAAGAAGGTGAAATTCGTGAGGCAGGAAGCCACCGGCCACTGCTAGTGCACTCGGCGTCGCATTGAAAGTCGGTGGCGGCAGTGGAGGTGGTGGTGGTGGTGGTGGAGGTGGCGGTTGGGGATGAGAAGACGAGCCCCAATGAGGCACTAAAGTGGAAGAGAGGAAAGAGGTAATGGATTGCTCTCAAACACCACTACTACTCACTGCTGCTTGGAGGAGGATGTGCTGGCGGGTATCTTAATCGGGCAATCGTTGAATGGGCCAGCGCAACATCTGGAAAGGTAGAACCACGTGGAGCAAGGATAATCAGCGGCGCCAATACGTGGATGAGCGGAGGGGGCTGTGCGTCCCGCATTTCCGCAAGCTTCTCCTCCAACCAGCCAGTCAGTGAGAGTCGCACCAGTGGAGTAAAGAACACACAGCAGAAAACAAGATTCGATAGACCCGCTAGGGCCCAGAATCTGTGGTACTCCACGCTGTAGGGTAGCTGTCCTAAAGGAGGTCCACGCAGGCACACCTCCAGCAGACGGCGACAGAAAGGTTCAACCACCGACGACAGTCCAGCATCAGTGATCTGGCGCAGCAGCCAGTTAGTGCACCAGTGCGGTTGGCAGGCGGTAAAGTCCATTTTATGGTTCACAGGGTGCAGCGGAGGTGCTGTTCCCCTCCGCCACCGGCCACGAAATTCGTGGGGCAATGCGACTGCCACTAGGCGCTCCACGCACGCGCGACTAGCGAGTCGTCCGACTAGGCATGCAAAGATGATGCGCAAAAGCTGTTTCACCACCGCTGAGGACATCCACAGCGGGCCAAGGAGGCGCAGGTTGAATCCGATTGGACGTAAGTCTGGCGAAAGATCCTCCATTTCCGCACCCTCCGCCGACGTAGCACCAACGCGTTCGGTCTCTACATCGTCACCAGAGGTTACTTCATTTACCACACCATCGGAGTCACTTTCGCTGCTACTACCTTCACTACTACTATCATTAGTTTCGTCCAGCTCAGACACATCTTCCGCGGTGCTTTCCACGTCTGAATGCGGTCGCTTGTTGTTGTTGGTGGTGGTAGTGGTGTTACTATTGTCCTTTTGGCGACTGCAACGCAGATCTGTGTGTACATGCTTTTGAAACAGCGCCCGATTCCGCCGGTAACGCCATGCAAGGGAGACGTCTCGATGAGGTGGCGGTGCAATGGGGGTGAGAATATCCAGAGCAAAGGCACAAACATCTGCAGCAAATGAGGCCTGACTCTGATCACGCAGCACACTAGCCTCCCGCTCGCACACTCCCAAAGCCTAAGCAGAAGACAAAATCAGGCTAAAGTTCGTTAAAAAATCAAATAAGTTGAGAAGGTAAATAGACGGATGCTTACCTCTGTGAGAACAGCCATAATAAAGGCCTCAGACGGAAGCACTAAGGGTGGCTGCCAGCAGCGTTTTTGAGGTAAAACGCCCTCAATAATCTGCGATTGCTGATGCGTAGAAATCGCCTGTAGGTGAGCCACTACAATGGGATGTAGAAAACTCAGAATAGCGGAACGAGCAGGTGGACAGGACTGAAGTAGAGAAGAGAGCAAATCGGATAGATGCGACCATTCCGCCGGCGATCTATTTAGAGGATGAGGAAGCCGTGTATTTGGATCTGCCTCAGATTGGCAAATAGCTACAAAACGCCGCAACTGAGCTCCGATGCTGTTCGCAGACATCGCACGTTCCTCTCATTGGTTGTGGCAAAGCCATTCAAAGTAATGCGCTCATTCTCAATTATTCAAACAGTGGTGTTACTTTCATAATTTTCTGAAGTCAGCAATGACAGAAGCTAGTGTCATAGTTACTTTGTAAATAAATACGGAGAGCTGCCATTTGCAGCAATCTGTCCCGATTTTTTTTCAGCAGAAGTCATCGTTATGAATTTGAACAATTGCTTGACAGTGGTGAGATCCTAGTCAATCTCAACTCTCCAATGAGTAGTTTTTGCTTTCGCTTTTTTGAATGATTGGTACATTCAAATGCCTTTTAATTCAGATTTTAATAAGCTCCGTTAGATTATTGTGGCGTGTCGAGTCTTCCTTGAGGTAGCAGCCGCCTCGACTTAGTGAATAAGGAATTATCACTAGCATGCATAAACGCTGTGAGGCTGGCATAGCATAATGCTGTATGTAAAGAAGGAAGAAGCTTTATGGTTGCACAAAATACAGCCCCACTGATTTGCCGGAATTCGATTTGAAAATCATCTTTGAAGCTCCTTTTGATCACCACACTGTAGTCAGTATTTTTTGCAATCGTCCATGAACCATGAGTAATAGTGATCAAATGGTTGTATAGGTGAGAAGACCTTCTAATCCACTTAATCATTACATTTCAGTGACTCTATTGTATTCAGGGCTTCAACCTATTTGTAAGACGCATTGAAGGAGTGGAATTTACTGTCACCTTATTGCCTAAAGGCCTGAACGATTACCAAAACATGGGCAACTTTTGCACCATCATGGGAATGCTAGACTAGGATTTGAACCACTCAGCCAAATTTATAACTTGAAGCCAAGGTGGTGCATCCGTTTCTTCCTTGTCACCTCTTTCCTAGTTCAGCACCAACCAACCGTCAACCCTGGGTATTCTTCACCCGGCAGATCTCTAGTGAAGGCGTCGTTCATCGTTATCATCTAGTCAGAACGTCATGAAATCATCATCTAACCAAATTAAAGTTACAGACTTTGAATCGGCAGTTCCTGATGCCTAGTATTGGTAGGGTGACTTTTCATGTAACTGGATCCAAGAGTGGATGACCACAAATTTGCATGTTTCTAAAATTACTGTTTTTGGAACGTCATTTTAGGGGACTATAAGCAAGCTGAGCCACAGTAACTAAGGTGCGTCGCTGCCTCCCCTACAATAGTGGGACAATCCGGTCACTCCCATCTACGACCTTGACCTCGTCCTCCCTTCCCCAGTAGAAGTGGTTCGTTAGCAGATCACATCATCGCATACTTTTCTCTCATGCTTACAAAACGCGTCAAAATGGTTAGTTAAGACAATAAGTACTAGGAAGAAGTCTCAAACATCTCAAATTCAAATGCACCGATAGTGACTTCTGCAATGAGCAAATAGACAACCGCAACAATAACTGGAAATTGACACTTATTTGGACCCCAAAATATTGCCATTTCTAGGTAGTTTTAGCATAAGTTGACAAAACAAAACAATGCCGCGAGAAAGATTAAATGAGGGGGCTTTCACCTCCAAGTTGCCACCTATGAACAGACAAAAAAGCCCGACGCTCCAAACTTACAGTTGCAGTCACGGCTACTGGGAATGAAGAAGAGATTATGATGACAGGAGAGTAAAGAGAGAAGAAGTTGTGAGAAAGATGGACTATGCGCTGACTCGCGTCAAACTTCTAATAGGCGCCGATCCTTGAGCGGCAGACGGACAAAAATGAAGACAGTCATAGAGAAGAGTTCAAATTCTCGATGCTGGGGATGCCCCTTGAATAACTACGTTGTGCCCACTGTTCCCATAGAAAGATTCATCGCTTAGGCGGTTCCAGGGCAGATTAAGCATCAACCGGGTGTTGCAATCGTTAAATACGCACAGAAATGATCGCCGAGGCTGTGCACCAGGAACCAGCACAATCAGGATCTACACCGGTAGAAGCAGGTGAAGCCGTCACCCACCGCCGCGTGTAGCACGCCTTTTCACTACATTTCTGCAGCCTCAATCTCACTTGAACGGTCCTGTCTCATTTACGCCCTTATAAATAAAAAAAAGATTTCTGTGATTCGATCGGCGAGAGCTTATTATTATTGATGATGGCTATGCAAAATCGGGAAACAAAAACGCGAAGAAGGATAGTTCCTGAGATGCAACAGCTCTCAAACGGATTGTGGCGCGTCTAGGTGGAGAATCGCGACGGCCTTATTGACCGCTGAGGCCCGGGCCAGCAACAGGGAGCAGGACATCATCAGTTAACCAGTGACGGTAATCAACCTACTGAGGAGAGGGAAGGTGGATGTCACATCCGTTGTAAAAATAAAGACCTTTGCATAGCCAAAACAGACTCGTATTTTGCACACAATTGACGAGGCGGATAAAATACAGACGGTTTAATAAGAGTGGAGTGATCAGGCACCACGAGAGCCTCTTCCTTCCTTGGCTGATCTCGTGGTGACCCCCCTATTGCCGACGCGACGAAACCTTCTGTGAACCACAAATAACTGAGGGCAAATGGTTGCAACATTGCTACGAATTGGGGTAGAATACTCCAGCGGCATTACCTGTGAAAGGCCAGCCATCATAGCCCATGTGTTTTATCGCCCTACCGCGACACCGACCTCCATTGTCTCCTTTGACCACTTCAACCGTTATCAAAAACCAAAAAATGCTATCACCATCAAACCAAGAATACAAATCTATGTCCACTATACGCAATTAATCCTTCCAATGCAACCACAGGTAGCATTAACAAATGAGGTGCACATGTCACACATCTGTGACACAACACCGTGTCCGATCCAAAAAGTTGGTTTGTCAGGTACGGGCGACGCTGGACCTGGAATAACTCCTCCACAGGCAACTAAATCCAAGAGGTAGCTGACCAAATTAAACCTCCAAACCGCCAGAAGCTCCTAGTAAACCGAGAGAAGGAAAGAAAGGACAAAACTAACCACTAAAGAGCATTCCTTTTGAGTAAAAACAGGGTTCGAGAGATTTTCGCATGCAGACGTGAACCGACACAAGATATCACCTAAGTGGGGACGAGGGGGGGAGGGGGCAAGTGACCAAGAATTCTAAGAGGGAGGCGGTTGGGAGATCAACGCACAAAGTTCATAGGAGAGAAGGGAGAAGAGACAATGATTAATCCTATTTCGATGGTGAGGCGGGAGAATAAGTGGATGACTTGCACACAGACACGCATACATACGTACATTTAGGTTGCTAAACAAGCAAACAAACAATTTGATGTCTCCAAATTCGATTTTACTACTGCGGTGGTGGCGGTGGTGGGGGAGGTGGAGGCTCAATAAAACCTGAAAATGAGAAAAAAATGAAAATTAATTTATTCCAAACCAAGTGTGGTTGATTTCAACAGTGTCCAAACAGCTAAACACGTCAACGCGGTGGGTTAGTTACCTGCAACACCGAAATCAACCGGTCAGATTTTCACACGCATTTAACTGCAAAGTTATAAATATACCTTAGAGTCTTTGCGACTTTGAAATCCACCATTCAGGAAGGTGATAGGGGTGTATTAATAAATCATACAATAGGCGAAAAGGGAAACGAGGAATCCGAAGAAAACTGCTACCATAGATTGGAGCAAAATGGCTCATCAAACAGGCGGTGTAGAGGTTAGCCGATCGGAAAAAGCAAAGAGAGTAAATACACATGAAAGCACAATTAAGTAGACACATATTAGCCTAACCGTGTCACATCTTACCGAAAGGAAGAGAGAATCCTCGGTTTATCAGCGCCTTTCAGAAAAATGTGAGAAAAATAAGTTTCTTAAAATATACATGCTCAACCTAGGTGTTTGTGTGAATATGACGTCGATTTCTCATCTACTCTGATATGTTTGATATTCTGATGTAATCGCGTAAGTTCATGCACTTCGACGACGAAAGGTACTTTATGCAAGCACACTGAAATTGGATATTGGCGGACGGGTTGAAACGAGGTAATAACAAGTTTTGTACTTTCAAGGAAAGCGACGAAACGCTGAGGAAGCTTACAACTGAACAGTGACTGATCTTCCTTTTCGTGAGATTTAGCATCACGGAATCAGTATTAGTAGGTGGCTATCATGTTGTGTAAAGGGACGCTGAAATTTAAATAAGTAGGAGGGGGGAGAGGGCGCTCACTCGTGCTTTCAATGTCGTCAAAAGCAGCAGGAGGAGGTGGATAGTCTTGATGCATCTGTTGCTGCAATTGTTGTTGTTGTTGATGAAGAAGGGGGTAGTTGAGATTCTGTTGGTTGTGGTGGTGTTGCCGTTGTTGTTGATGGGCATACTGATGCGTCGGATAGCTGTAGAACGACGACCCGGTTACCGAAGGAATACCTGTCTGCGGCAACTGCTGCTGCTGTTTCTGTTGGTCGTAAAAAGCACGCGGATTCTTGGTCCGCGCACCAACACCGGTATTGCTGTTACTGCTGGTATTGGCAATAGACTGCCGCTGCGGTAAACGACTTTGTGTGAGGCCGTTCTGCGTCGGGGATATTGTTCGCTGGGTTACTGAGTTACGGAGACCTTTACAGAAAGGAGAAGATTAGAGAGACAAAGTCTTTCGAGCCAATCAAACCCAAATGAGAAACCCAAATAAGTGTCGCTGAAATGGTAAATCAGTAGCATGGACCCACCAGAAGATGAGCCATACTGCTGATGTCTGCGAGCAGCCACGGCTTCAACAGCCAGCTGAGCAGCAGCAGCGGTGGTGGCAGTTGTACCAACAGCGGCGATCGGTGCACCATTCTGCTGTTGTTGCTGCTGGAAGGAGCGCGGATCAGCGTAGACACGTTGCGGATGCTGTTGCGTACCCCGGGGGGCGGCATAGTGGCTATTACTGTTGAGTGGCTGTTGCTGGTCCATCTGTGGAAGGTGGCCAGTTGGTGGGAAGAAGTGTTGCTGCTGTTGAGGCTGTGGAAGAAACTGTTGTTGTTGGCATAGTCCCGGCAGCTCCCGACAAACACTGCTGGAGCGACGCGGTGGTCGAATGACCTGACCTGACTCGTTTGAAGTGGAGAGTTGAGTACGTAGCTAAGAAGTAGGAATCAGTGACCACTATTTAATATTCGAGGTACCTATAAAACTTTTGCCAAACTAAGTTCCCACGTAAGGAAATACCCGGTTAAAGCTGACAATTTGGATTGAGGTATTTCACATGGTGGCATCATTCAGGGCTTTGGAAGATCGAGCACCCACTAGAGAGTGAGCTAGTGAATGGGTTCCAGCCGAACTACGACCCACAAATCCTCAAGCTTATAGTCACTTCCGCTATGTGACTGATGGTTCTGTAGAGTAATTTTTGCGAACAATAAAAGAATGCAATTCAGCCATTCGTCGTAATTATGGAGGAAGTGAACGCATAGACAAACATTTACCTCCTACTACGAATCTCAAAGTCGTCTGGCTCAGAAAATAAAATAAAAAACACGTATTCATTGAGAGAAGATGAGCGTGAGTGATTGTATAAACGTCGTAAGGTGGCAGCTCCTCCTCACACTTCAATGAACAGTTGGCTAGTTGACTGGGCGACTGGCCAAACCGTTGGAGGCGCGATATGCGCATGCAAAAATAAAACACCAAAACTTGTCTACCACCATCAGCAGCATGTGGAGCAGAGGGGTGAAGCCACCTTATACGGATGTGGTGTAGAGTGGTAGAAGTAAACTCACTGGAGCCCGCCTTCCAGGACCCGGCGTCATAGGCGCCTGCTTGGAGTCGTAGCCATAGCACATGTCCATATCCATCGATGGCGTCCCTCCTGCTGTAGACGCCACAGACGTCGACGTCGTGTTCAGTTGAAACATGGATCCACGCATCAGATTGATGCCCGCCGTACGCTGCTGCGACTGCCCTTGCTGTTGTGGTCTCCTTCGACGGAAAGTGGAGGTGTTTCCCGCACCTCCACCCATACCACCTCCAGAATCCATCCTCTCCACACTGGAAAGTGATTCTATTGTCGGCGGTGGCGACTCGGCTCGACAGCCCCTCAGTCCGCGTCGCAGGGGGGTGGTTTCAACGTTCGAGAAAATGGCGTCTATACGAGATCGCGCTAAAGTGAAGATGAGCAGAGAATCAGACACCAATGAACGTTTCAAAGAGGCAGTCAGTCGATTCCGGTTGCTGGGACATCTGTCATCTCTTCAAGGCTCTTTCATTTGGTCGAGCCTCTTTGTTGGTACCTGAACTTTATATTTTATTTTGTTTATTATAGTCTTTTTTAGAATACTAAAATTCAACTCTGCCCATTCTGTCGGTGAGACTGGTCACATGGAGATGGCATTTACGCAAGACTTCAGCAAAGTGAAAGCGAGCAAATTGAAGCTGGTAAATTGAATGTCGGATAACTAAATGCGACAATCTTGAGGAAAAACGGCTCATGCAATGGTCGAGACGCGTTGCTAACAATGAGCATACAATCGGTCGAGCAACAACTGTGTACAACTCAGATGAGAATGCCCACAAAGGAGTGGTAGAATTTTGCGATAAAATTCTGTTGTCCTTCTTTCCTCCGCTCACCTTCAGCATAGGCAGTAGATGGTGAGCTGGGAACGGAGGACGGTGGTGGTGAATGCAGCGACGCCTGATCAGCAATGACGGGAGTCATGGCGGAGGCGTGGGGAGGGCTGAGACTCAATCCCTCACCGGCACCCTCACAGTCTCCCAGACCCGACTGAGCGGGTGGTGGTGGCGGCGGTGGTGCAGGGGCTCCTGGTGGCACCAGACCCGGCCGGCTGCTAATTGATAGACTGCGCAGCAAAGAGGCCATGCCGCCCTTAGAGATGGTCGCTGTGGGCTGGGAAAACTTGCGGCCTTCTGCAAGAGGGAAGGGGCAAGAGAGTCAGAATTGTGCTTGGTGAAGCGGGGATTCACTCCTCAAAATACGCTACCTAATCCATCAGTTCAGTTGATGACATCACTAAAACTACTGGCCCACTTCCTACTTTTTTTTATCATAAGGCTCACTAAGTCCCACGTGCTACTGAATAGGAAAATAGTAGGCAAGCACCTCTTCGAAGTCTGTCGCCCCAACAATCCAAATATGGTGGCAGTGAATGATGAATGGACCAACAAGTAGAGCATAAAAGCCATCACAGAAATCGCTCAAGAAGATCTCGAAAAAAGTCAACCTAATTTCCCGGCCTGGAAGAGGGGAAGGCGCTGCTTGTGCTGAAATTGAGGCCAGTCTGATCAAGTTACGACCTGCTTCAAGCCACACACACAGGTTGTCCGCTCTGAGTCATCGGTAAAATGACTATGAAATCCACTTGTGAATCACGACCACATGAAAATAATGGATGGAATTTAACATCGTCAAGTAAATGGAGGTGTGAGCACTGACAACAGATTTGAGTTAAGCCTGAAGCCACGGAAATCGTAGGAGAGAATCAACGCACTCAAGATTCTGAATCGCAGCGACTGCAGGGTGGTTTGATAGAGCCCCGTACTCGCAAAATTCGTCCGCTTGAATAGGTACGAGAGGGAGCGTATACCATCTTGATTTACGATTGAAGGACTGAGTTATTTACAAAGGCTCAGAGAAGGATATCCAACCTTCAGGATACAAGGCAAAGGGAGCATTTGTGAAGAAGATATAAACCGCCCAGCAAATCAAATTCTCCAAAGATGTGAAGGGAGTCAGACACACAGGGAACCTCTATCCTCTTGAATAAAGACGTGATACCTAAATGCTCAAAGATCTACAGTCCTTACTTGTACATACTAAAGATGGTATTCAAAGAATTTAATAAGAACACAGAGCAGAGACGTTTAAACGCGATGTGATATGGCGACTGCTGAAACTCAAGCTCTAGACGAGATCTAGCACCGGCCATTGGTTGGAGGCGTGACTGCTGGTTGGCAGATCTTGAGGTAACCGTAAGGACCCGATCAAAAGTACACAATTCCTAGGATGCCGAATTAAATAAATTGTTTGCAGAGGCGTGGAACTACCTAGAATTAAACCTGGAAAATTAAAAGCATTCAAACAAAAGATACCCAACCTTCATGTAGGCGATTCAGAGACAGCGCTTGAATAAGCTTAAACATCCCAACGACCCTTGATTTCACAAGACGATTTGGAATATCAGCTGTAGCAGATTACAAAGCTTCCTGTTTCACAAACTTCAGTACTTTGATGGAGGAGGACGGGAAGGCACTGTAGGCGAGTCATGGAGGCTTAAACAAAATATCTACAGTGCCCATTTTAAAACAATGGGGATGAGCTGGAGCCTGCTCAGTGCAGCAACTGTGACAGATTGGAATGGATGCAATGGAGTGGGTCTAAGATCTAGAATAGACAGAAATGTGATTACCAATTGCCAGATTTCGTAATTCACGAACGGCGTATTTCCAGTCTCCATATGGTTGTGTAAAAACAGTGGCATTGGAAGAGGTCGTCAAAGTCCTTAACCCGTCAATTTAGTCTATTTGTTTGGATGTGACGAAAGTGTGTCTACCATCTTGAACTGAACAGGTGTGATCGTGGACTGCCCGAATAAAAGGTCTACAGTCTTTAGAAGGTATGGTCTAAGCAATGTGTTACGGTACTATAAACTAATTCTTAAGTGTGTCAGCTCGGATCTCATAGAGGTCTTGATCAGACTAATCAGGCGACGAAGACATTAGTGCAGACGTTCTTTTTTTCGGACCTGTAGAAGCTGGAAATATGACCCATGCGTACGCGTCCGTCGGCTGACTGCTGATTGGGGCGGTCCCGTGCTCGTGCGCTTCCATTAATTATCTGGCACAATCAAGGGGACTGAACGTGAGGGAGAGTTCCGAGACGTTCTAGAATGTTTGGAAACTCAAACTTGTTTGGAGCTGTAGACACCCTCAGCAGAAGGAATTGCAAGCGTCTCAAAGAATACATCTTCGTGAGGTAGCTTACAGCGGATCGGAAGGGGCTTGGACTTGTATCTTTTAACCAAGTAGGTAGGTGTGGTGAAGGTCATTTCACATGACTGTAAAATAATCAAGTAAGTTTAAACAAGAGTTCTACAATTCCTACATTGAAAATGCAAGCAATCAATTCGTCAAAAAAGATAAAGACGCCTCCATAGCTCCACCTCTTTGGACTTAACTGCAGAATGACCTTAAAAAGGAGCAAAGTGACCTGCAGTCGCCCATGAAATAAGCAATCACGATATGGAAACTATTCGAGAAATGCCAATGCATGAACTTCCAAATCCTTCCCAAAACCTCATTCGACAACCAGTTAGTTGAACTCATTGTGACGTGTTCGCGTTGAACCAGTGGAGAATGGATGCACGTCGTCTTGAAACGAATCCATTCACACAGCCCTGAGGAGTGTGACGGAGTAGCTGGCTACAGCTGGAGCAGTAGATGACGTTTGTGTGTCAGCATTTATCAAATTTGTTAACCATTCTCTAGATTTCTTCAGAGAAATGCAATGGAATAGGGCAATAGTCGATTTTCAATGCATCAGCTTGTTCACTCCCCTCGAATAGTGATTCTTTCAGCACGAAAAAAACATCAAGGTTATGCCAACAGCAACTGGATCTCTAAGGTAAAGCTCCAAACTGCAGCATCATCACTGCTCACCTGCCAGCTTCCTTGTATGGACATAAGAGAGCAGGAATTCGTGTGCTGGGAGCAAAGAAAGACTCGCCCATGCATTTGTGGAAGGTAAACATGCAACAGCGTGGAAGTGTGTGTATGTGTGTGGGACGGTGATGATTCAGTCAGCAGGTCGGTCGACCAGTACCGTTTCTGCCACTGCCACAGTAGCTGCTACAGCAGTAGACGAATGAATTGAAGTGGAATACGGTGAAGTAAATGCTAGGCAGGCGGCAACATTAACGACAGCGCGAACAGGGAGAAGACAAGCGACACGAACGCAGTTTGGCCAGCACCGCACCAATTGCGCACTTGGCCCTCTGCATTACCATCCCATTGGCGAAAACAATTCGACAATTTCCACTCCCGTTTCAACGACTTGTCAAGTATCGGAGCGTCATCTTGAGGTCCAATCTGTGGACCTTTCAAAGCTCGTCTTGTATAATTCCGAAAATTACACATCTTTTCCTATTTTGAGGTGATGGAAGCTATAATCCAGGCTATAGTATGCTTTCCATTTGTCCATCAAAGGTCAAATGAAGTAGTTATGAAATCAGGCCTCAGTCTTTATAGACGGAGAGAGAAGGATTCTACCACGTTCCCGAACCACATTAATCATTTGAGATGACTAGCCATGTCCGAACCAAGAAAGTAGGGAAGGTCACAGACGCTTCATCTGGACAGTGAATGTGACGCCAATTGGACATCACTCCCCAAAACTTGAGGTGAGAAAGATTAACATGCATCGTCAGAAGAGCATTTGGTTTACTTTTTAAGTGAAACGCTGAACTACAAATGTATCGCAGAATAAGGGAAGTGTCACCAGTCGAAACAGCTTGAATGCTAATTAAGAATTAGTAATTTCAGCACGTAGCTAAGTGGGGTGCTAGAAAGCATTCCAAATTTTCTGGCTAAAAATGAATCCTCCGCATTTCGAAATGCTCAGAAGAGAGATTTAAGTTCTCACGCTGGCAAGTCAAGCCAATGACGACTCTGAAACCCAGAATCCCGAGTGATCGCAGTCTTGGTAGGCGGATCTTCCACACACGATGACCACTTCGACCAAATTTCATCTCCCATTAGTGACCAATGCGGTTACTCCGGCAGGTCACGTCTGACACACACCATACACGAATCATAACCTCATCCAATTAAAGTCAAACTAGTTCTCTTTTTATTAAAAGACGTGTGTAGCTGGAACATTTTCAGCAAAAAATCGGCCACACTGCCATCATGCTTCAGGAGTGATTTGGTTAATAATTACTTGCAAGCAAAGTAATTCGTCTCTTACAACCCAGCTGCATTAATGTAGGCCTTATTCCTTTCTCGAATCTCTCGTGTATACTACTTATTGAACAGTAAGTAGCATCGGCAAAACTCGTTCATTCAATGATCTGGTTAAAGAATGCAGGCAACCAATGTTATCACCCTTATAAAAAATGGCTTACATCCTGTCTCCATCATTTTCAGTGAGAAAATTTGGAAACAAAGAAGGCCTCAGAATTCTTTGCGTAAGTGGTACTACTAGCTAATTTGAAAGTATTATCTGCACTAGTTATCGGGTTTATATAATATGTGGTATGTTTACTACAAATGGGGACGTTTTTAGAACAACGGATCTCAATCTACTCTTTGCTAACGCACATAGGCACTTGATAATCAGCATTAGAGGTATCAAGAATGGATACCGATGTGCAGATGACTGGAAAGGCCGATCTAGTAGTAACAAGCTCAAGGTGTCGCTTCAAACGTATGGGTAACGGAAGGGAAACAGCTCAAAGCCATTCCTAGTGAATTTTAAATTGAGTCAGTGGAAGGTGACAGAAATCTCGGTTTACAAGCATACACACACACAAACAGTGTTCCACGCGCGACTTAGGCTTTTGGCGTTTAAATTGACAATCCCCCAACCCCCCACTCACCCCTCCTGAATGTCACGGTGCATTAGCCCCCAACCACGTTCGCGCATGGAAACGCATACGCTGAGGGAGGAGGGGTGAATTTGAGACTTCGCTTCAACTCTTTAAGCGGCAGAGCCCGATTAGTGAGCCTGTTGAGCAATGTAACATCCAGTCTTCCTTTAAATTGTATTCCTGGGAGTCAATGCTTCTACGAGATTTCGCTTTGAATACTAGCGCTATCATTACAGAAGCATAAATAAGTTTAAATTAATAACAAAACCAAAAAAATAATGACTGGCTATGAGATGAGCCAATGTAGGAAATAAGAGATAGCCTTGTCGGATGAAAGTTTCACCGGCTGAGGATGAGATTAACCTTTAAGCGCATAGAGTCCAACGTGGTTCGGGGTTGAAGTGCGGAATTGCCCAATCAGGCGGGAGATCCGCTTGGTAGATAATGGCAAGCTGTTGTGAGAAGAGATTAGCGGTAGCGAAGTCGGAATTTACAAGAGACGTTCAGGTCATGTCAGGACTTTAAATCTTACAATGTTCTAATAAAGACTTACTACAATGGCAGTGCTAAAAGCATTAATTGGTGGCAAATAAGTCTTATAACTACCACCAAGAGTCGGCGCATATTTCGTGACCCAACCAAGTCTGTAGCGCTGGACGGGTTGGCAGGCAATGGTGGTGATGCATGAGTACGGGCATCAACAAAGGCGTCAAAACCTGCAGACACAGGCACATTACAGTTTAGCTGAGAGTTAGCACCGCATTCCTTCCATAGCATAAACCTCACTTCAAATGGTATCGGTCTGTTTGAATTCCTAAAAGAGTACCTTGGAGGTCAAGGTTTTAGTACCACTGCCCCCAGGACAGTTCTATGATGAAACCCCTTTCTTGGTATCGGGTAAATGGGCCATTGGATCATGCAAAAGAAAAATTTACTTATCACTCCTTGAAGTCCGTTAAAGTAGTTTGTAAACCCGAAGTCCCCATTTGACCTGAACAGCCCCAAAATACGCCACTGCGTAGATGTCTCGGTAATCGCGAATTAATTAAACAAACCTCCCAAACTTAATTCTCTCACAAAACGAAACAAAGGCAGTGCACAAGACGACAATTTCAGTAAATAGCCCAATAGAAGCAGAAGCACCAACGTCACCAATGGTGGTAGTGACTAAGTGTGAAAACAGTGGGGGAATTTCTATGTGACGTAGTAAGAACCATAATTTATTATAGCGATTGGAAGGCGAGCAGAGGCTAAAGAGGGAGAATGTGAATTCTCCCATGCACACATAAACACAACACGCCGCTACTAGAGCGCGTTTGAACACAGCCAGCTAGACCAATGTGTTGGAAGGAGCGGTGAGTGAGGTGGCCACTCATTTCGTTACTGCTGGTGGCATCACCAGTTCACGTACCGATTCATCTGTCTCCAATGTTTGCATATGATTGTTTGTCTAGCATTTGGCGCGCAAAAAAGAGGCTTCAGGCGCCGATCCGGAATCATATTTCGCCTCCTTGTGCCTAAGAAGGAAGTTGGAGGAGGAGTGTGTGCGTGGAATCTAAGCGCCAAACCTCCGAACCCGCCATCCAAAACTCGCACCAAAGAAGCGCAAACTTAGGACCCTATTTTGTACATCGATTCCACGGTAAATAAAAAATAGGGTTCTAGTAAAATATTACCTCCAACGACTTTCTTCAGAGTTACCGACGCTTACAAGTTCAAAGCTAGCATTATCGAGGCATGAAAGGCTGCAACATTGGAGCCTCAAGCTGGAGGATGTGTACAAAAGTCCCGATTTTGAGTAGACAGACGGCCAAAAATGGATGAATCAATGAAGAGGTAGATCTTGTTGTTAGAAGAATAGGATAGGATGAAGATGAAAAATATTCAGACAACGTTCGTGGTAGAGGAAACCCTCTTCTAAGACATTGTGGGACACGGTTTTTTTTGGCCCCCTTAGCAGGGGCATACTTGGTATAACAGAGGGCATGATAAATGGCCACAATTAGAATCCGCAAAGTGGTTTTCTTTGCTAGTAAAATTGGACGCCTTCTCCATGGCGTCAGTATCACCGTTTTGCAGTTGGCTGGTACAGGCCATTCAAAATTTCGACACCCGGCAAAAGTAGGAACATTTTGCGTGTCAGGCCTCCATTCTTTCCGCCATCGAAGTCTCCTACACACAAAACTCTGTTGCTGGTGTGCTCGCCGCACTTATTTCATCTTCAGGCATTAAGACGATGAATGCACCACAAACAACAACAATTTCAATGGAGGAAATTAATGTGCATTGTTTTGGAAGGACAGTAGGTCAATTAATGGGCAGAAAATTTCCGAGAATCAACTGATTTTTAGTGCCAGTGTGCAAACTTCCCATTTCTCTCACAACCGGTGGCTGCATAAACACAACCGGCGCGCGCAGTACAGGTAAACAGACGCCAAAATTTGGTGTTCACACCTATGGTTTTAGGGCACTTTTTTGCCAAAATATTGGAAAGATTCGCATTATTTCCTCACCATTCAGAGGAGAAGAGCCAAGTGAAGAATTTTCTCTGAGTGACCAATGGAATAACCTAACATATCGTCCTTAGGGGAAGTGCAGGGCGAAGTTATAAGGTCATCCGTTCTGAGAGCTTCAGGTGGGATATAGGAGCCCATGTGGTGAGAGAATAGCACATAACTGGACGCATTCATCATGCCTTTCCCTTGGTTGACTGACTGTGGTGAATGGGTTGCTATGGGGACACCTTTACGAAGGGCTGGAGAGATGAAAATGCTGTTAAAAGAGGTAGAGACTGCATTTAGTCCACACAGACATTACCACGACAAGAAGCGGCGGATTTGGACCTGGAAAAGTGCTGTTATGTTCGTTATCAATTGTACCGGTAATTTACACCGTCCTGCAGACATCGGACCACTGAATGAGCTGTGGAAAACGAACTTCATGCATCACAACGAGTCCAAAAAAACTAGTGGAATGAAGTCGAAAATTCTACGGGTAATGACCTCGTATCTATACTAGAGAATCCGAGTCACTTCCGAAAAGTTCTTTCCTGAGCTCTATTTCGCCACTGTGGAGGCCGAATAGCGGGAGGTTGAACAGAGCCACGTAATTGTATGTTTACTTGAAAGGGCATAACTTTTTCCCCGACAACATAATCCTCAATTGTCTTTTGAGAGTCACTTTCCAGTTCTCTTGGTTATTAGTCTTCTACGTCGGCCATGACCGTCAGTAACAAGGTGTAAGACAGGAATAAAGATCACGCAAGGATATTCAAATATAGCCAGGCGGTCAACCTCAACGACATTCATACACCTCGTAGATATCCACACGATTAACCTACCAAGTATTATTCAAGCAAGTCATATTGAGAGGATACTTTTGACGAGCACCGCATGTGGTTGGAGGCTCTACAACGAAGCCGCAGCATCGAACAAGGGAGACCCGCATTCCCTCTGAAGTTAGCGAAGGCCAAAAAAATCGAGAGGTGAGTGATGAGCCGAATCGTGGAGGAATGGATGTTACACTTAGCCGAAACAGGCTCGAAGGAGAAAGTACCACTTCAGATTAGAAGTTTTTCAACAGCAAAACCATATGTTTTAGCTAATAGCCAAAGAAGGAACTCCGGAAAACTTGTCTGTTTCCCTGCGTTGGGAGTCTTCTTTTTGTGCCCATTTCCTGAATATGGTAGAACATCTCGGGATTAGCGCTCTCGTTCAAATCCCTCAAGGTTAAGGCCAATAAAATACAACAAATAACCGAGAATGGAACTACCTTGTCTCCGGTAGAGGCAGCTGGGAGTCACGTACGTACACGCCGTACAGCCTGCTTAGTCATACACGTTGGCAAATTAAGAAGTCTACACTGAAGTCTTTGTCTCGCACTTACTTCAACTGGAAGCTCGACAGAGTCAAAACTAACGCACATAAACACTAGTTTATAACAGAGCTGGAAAGAGGCGGAAGGAAGAAGGTATGGAAGCCACTTGCAACTTAAGTGGAAGACTGGGAAGACCCGCGCAGACACATCAACAATCGACAGCAGTGGCAAGTGTGTCTCCATTGCCGGAAGTGATGAAAATAAGTCCCCAGCTTAAACGCCCTCATTAAGGGAGTGAGAGGGGCAAGAAGGGGGTTTTGTCCCTTCCCATCAGTCTACCATTCAGGAGGGAGGTAGGAATCTTCACAGAGAAAGAGCGTGACTCCTACGCATGATGTCTGGTAGAGTTATAATTATTTGCGAAATGCATAAAGCATTGAGGCATGGAGGGACCAGTTCCAATCCAAAAGTCTGCTTAATTATAACCCAAACAAAAAAAATGACAGCAGGGCAATTAATTAGTGAGGCGATGCACCCAAAGTGACCTCCACACCCCTCGAGAAGGGCCCCAATGTTGAGAGAATGCAGCAGAAAGTTTATCAACCCATGAAGGCATTTCTCACAGCCAGCTGGGCTAAAAATATGGACATATGTGGCAGTTGTCAGTGGGGACAAGTTTTGACAAACATCGTGGATTCAGAAAAAAAAATAAGCAGCCCTGTGGATATGAGGAGCGAATAGTCTAGTGGATGTTGACTGGCAAAATCATCGACATGTCTCTCCCAATTTTCTTAACTGCAAGCCCCCTTCCACATCGTTTACTATTCACTTTCGTTTTAGCTGATATTTGTGTGCTTCATCCGAATGACTGAAGCGCATTAGCTTTCATTGTCAAACCTTTTTCTCGGACTTCGTAAGTATTCAACCATTGCATTGGAAAGAATTCAAAACAGCATAAAAAGGAAGGAAGGAAAGGAGGGGAAAGGAAGGTAGAAAGTTGCCTAAGGAAAACTACATGCATGATAACCATAAAAAGGTGAAACTAGGGTGAAGGGCAGTAATAGACAACTCCCCAAGCAAGCCACAGCATGATGGGACGACCATGTCTCTCAAATGTCAGCAAATGAACGCATCAAAACGATGAACAACAGGGGGGGGAGGGGGAGGAGAAAAGGAGAGTGACTTGTGGCAGTTAAAACAACAAACAACTCCGTGAAAAATTGTCGCTATTTCTGACTTCAACTGATTAGAAAATTAAAGCATCCCACTCTAAATTAGAGTTGAATTCCTGAAAAAAAGGATCATTTTACGAAATCATTAATTACAGCCTTCACTAAGCTATTTAACTTGAAAGCAACTACATCAAAGTCGAAACTTGAGCCAAATTCGGTGTTTTTTTTTTCCCAAAAGTGGAGCGAGACCCACCTGGTTGGTTGTCGTAGAGGGAATGAGTGGGACTGGCAAGAGGGGGAGTCTCGGCTCGTCGTGGATCATCGGGGGCGGCGGAGGAGGAATCCTTGGGAGCCCCTCCAACGCTCCTTTGGGCCGCTGCCTGCAGCTTGCTGATGTTCGTGTACACCGGAGGGGGCAGGGCCTGATTGGGATAAAGTACTGATTTTTCTACAAAAAATGTGGATAACATAGATTGTTATAGGTACTTTTTGGTTTAGAAATATACGATTTATTGTGAGGGTGCCCCACTTTCATTACTTCAACAATACAATTAGAGGAACTACAGGAAGATCGTGAATGGATTACGGTAATCTTAGCTACAAGATCCATCCAAGAACCGCATTCAAAAAAATGATGGATTTAACGCTTTGAAGGTGCGACTGGTTACTGAACACAAAGACTACGTTGCCTGAAGGCTAGAATGGGAGGTTTTGTGCCAGTTGGTGCATTTAATCATGATAAAGAGTCGCACACCGTGCCAGAAACCTGAAATGAACCCAAAGTAAAAGACACCAATGTCCACCCACAAATTGGCAACAAGATTCGACGCATTAAGGCATTTGCTTCAACAAATCCGCGAGATAACTTCAATAACTTGACGGTCTTAGCCACAAGATCTAAATGAGCTTTAAGGGTAAAAGCATCTTAGATCCGTTATGTTGAAGATAGGAACTGTAAGAACAAATTCTTTGTGAAAATTCTTTTGCAAAATGGTTGCATACGTTGAATGGCTTATCCAAGCAAAACCCAAAGTTGAATGTTCGCTGCCAGGAGTAACTATTTGAAAATCTGGGACAGGGATTATCCATTTTTACGGAGCTTTATTAGTCAAACACAAAAAAGGGAGACAAATGGAATCCAAAACACCGACCTCGAGGTCAAGACTTCAACTGGTCTTGTTAGGTTCAATGACTTGGACGTTATGAGTGCTACTGAAACAACAGAGAGTAGGGTCTGGGTGACTTAGCTGAAGGCCGTCAATGATTATCTGAAGGTACTTAAACCCTTAGACTCCACCTGGTCGAAGGGGGAAAGTAGTAAAGCTACAACACGATCTAGTAGGTGACTGTCGCAATAGCAAGTTTTCACGCAGGAATTAACGTAGATTCAACACGAAACCTTTACAGACCAATCGTAGAGATGGTTGGCGAAATTGATGGCATGATGTTTAAAACATACCAACAGGTGACTGTAAAAGACCCTTCAATTTGAATCCAAAATGTGTTTGAAGAGGGAGGGGAAGGTGAATATGGAAGAGGCGAAATATTTATGGAAGCAAGGAGTCAGACGCTATTTCACCCTCTCAACACACACTGTGTCATCAGCTGAGTCACTCCCAAGACAAGGCTGTGGTGTGGCCGATTTTGTGAAGAAATTGCTGCAGCGATGCACCAAATCGACATAGAAAGACTCCTCCAATTTGCAAACAGTGGGCAAGATAGTGGGATTCTAGTAGGGGTACTGACTTGCCTCCAGGTCACATCAAACGTGACCCAATGGATCCAACGTGTCATGAACCAACCTTATCCGGTTGATAAAGGTCAAAAGTCCGAACTAGCTACCGTGATCGGGAACGACATCGAACAGGACACTGATAACATGAAGCAGTACCGATATTCTCGTGCTTCAAAAGTGATCTAACAGACCTGATTAGGACGAAAGAGCGTATCTTTCTTAAAAGCAAGTTTAACCACGGTAAATTTGTTCGTCGATAGCAGACAGAGCATTCATTTATTTCTTTTATGCTTCTCAACACATCTCTCCACCAAATTTACGCGACCTGAAAGCGCTCCACGATTCCATATCAATCGACTAACGAGCCAAAGGCCATGGAGAGCTTCATGCACTCTTCCACTCACCGATTTCCAGAATTCACTATCGCCTCATCTGATGAAGTAGGTAGCTGTTTACAAGTAGTTTATTGCCCGATTCTGATTTCTTTATTTTCGAAGCCAGAAGACCTTCCACGTCTGATCAAGGCATATTGTATGCAGTCGACAGTGACCTTTTTCACTTTTCATCCAAACAAAATTTTATTTCAGGTGGTGAATGTCTACCTGTGATGCTCCCCTTCATAGACCAGTTTTGAACAAATCACTGAACAGAAAGGTAAAGTGGAGTGGATGCTGAAGGAGTAACTCCGTAAGCATTTATTGAAGCAAAATCGCTTTAAGTGTAATTAGCGTTTGTTGATGAAATGGAAGTTTTGTCTAAGAACTGCGTCACATTAGATCGAAGCCAAATTGTATCTTTCAGATAATAAGGAGTGAGATGTGAGGGACCTACACAGTCAGAGCTTCAAGATGGCGCCCCACTACTTAACAAGCCGCTGGAAAGCCTCATTTTTTGGTTGTGAGAGGGATAAGAAGAGGCGCAAGAAAGCACTTGGCACGTTACGAAGGCATCGCCCCAGCTCACCTTTCCACTCTGCCGTTTCTTTTTTGTACGCGCGTACTTTTACTGCATTTACCTAGCGCATTCCGACTTAATTCACTCATTTGCTGCTGTTGCAGGCACCGACCAAGCAACCGACCGTCGGGCTGACTCAGCGCGATCCTGCGTACGCACGAACCAAAGCCCAACCCGGTACGTGTTCTCCCTACGGCGTAGGCGTACCTGGCTCTAGCGCGCATTTAACAGGGCAATGGTTTGTTTCTTAGTCAGGAACTAAAAGGGCTTAACCCAAGCGAGCCTGCTGTCATAGCCATTTTTTGCCTTTTCACGCTAGAATAAGCACACCAGTCACTTGGGCAGCTCAATACGGCGGAGGAGGGGGGAATTCAAGAGGGGAAAAGTAGTCATGCCTACCTAGTAATGAACTCGCCTGTACTCAAGAGACGGTGAAAAGCAGGGATTCCAAAGTTGGGCAAGTGAAAGATTTTTTTCTCCAACCTCAAATAACATCAGCAGAACTGTGCATGCCAGAGAAAGTGCGGTAGTAGAGGGGATACTGGGAATTGACGAATGCCGCCCGCACCTCTGCCTCATATCCATGGCGGGAACAGGTGGGGTGAAGTCAAAAGGGGAGGAGATGGGAAAGAAACCTTATCTATAATCTACCGAAAAAAGTGCTGACACGCCACCACTACCACCACCACCCCGGCTATGGCAGCTGCTGCGCCAAACACACTCAGCAGGCTGTGTGTATGGATGGGGTCATTCCAAGGTCACGGAGAAGTTTGTGGGTACACAGGCTTGTCGCTACCAGGTCCAAAGGACAGGCCTGCTTAAGTGGTCATCGGCTGATGGTAGGAGAGTGATTTGAAACCATAGGAATAGCAGAGGCAACCGTACTGGTCTACTCACAGCTAAAAAACGTATTACTTTGAAGATTTCGAAGAATATATGAGTTGATTAAAGGAACTCACTCACTGACGTTAATGTGTGCACAATGAATAGGCGACGCCAAATTCACTCATGATGGAAAGTACTACTTGGAAGGTTAAAAAAATCAAGAAAAGAGTTTTCTTCCGCTATTAACATTTAGTGTACCAGTTAGGACCGACTTTTACAGAAGCCTACCAACCGACTTTAGGAGGAGATGACCCTTGATCCGGTGGTAGATATATGAGGCGTCATGATTCAATTGAAAGAAAATGAACCAGTTTGAGGGAGCAAAACGGAGCCAATGACAAGTCCAATTGTTCAGAAAATAAAACATCTATTTGAGAAATGATGGAAAAAGACAAGAAATTTCCGAAATTTCCTGTCACCTCGTTCCACCCCTTCGCCTGTATAGATGGCTCTTCTACACGCAGCCGAATGATTCAGAGGATATTCGTGACTCAAGTATCGATAGGCAATCTCTCGAAGGAAGCTTTATAATCTTGACCGGTTAATCATAAAATATTGGTCGCACATAGGCCCACAACAGACGTCAAGAAGGAATGCTTAAAACACTTGTTTCGTTGTTTATATAGTCACCGATGGTAGGCTTAAAATGGGTTTCGATTGCCTTCAATACTTCAAAAGACAACAAATTGACGTTTATTTAACAGTCTGATGTAACTAAATCGCATATTTTTAACTCAATTCTGCCAACTAAAGCAAATAGATGAAATTTATTGAGAAAAGTTGTTTCTATTTGCTCCGTTTCGTAATCTCGATTGCTAGCAAACTTCACAGTAGTGGTGTGTCTATCGACTCAGACCTACCCATCGTAGCAGCCGCAGATGTAGCAGAAGCCGAGGCAGTAGCTGCAGCAACAGAAGAAGACTTCTCAGACTGCAAGCCAGCCTCCAGAGTTTCGTCATTTTCGTCGTCCTCAGTGAGACAACCCTCTGTGGTTCCGCCGTCTTCCTCCTCTTCCTCTTCTTCGTCATCGTCCTCCGCGTTGTTGTTTAGCATGGCGGTTTGAAGTGGACCACCGTCTGTGTTCATCTCGCCCAGAGCGTTCGATGAGCCCGAGTCCGCTACGGACCCGAGAGCTTCCAAAAGGAGAAAGGGAGGTAAACCTCAGCAAAGGTAAATTTTCCATTAATCATTTGAGGAGACTTTTATGAAGATTTCTCACAGCTCCAGCAGTATCTATTAAAAACCCTATGGAAAGTTGGGGGCAATTTTACAGCTTTGTGGTCTTTTGATTGTCCTTTAAACAAGTAGTCAAGAGCCTTTAGCATAACCATTTGGGGAACGTAAGGACTAAGCTGCCCTCGTGAGGAGCGACTCGTGAAGGACTGTGAAGAATCTTTTTCCTCAATAGTCCCGTCATTATTTCAAACCTACCCTGACTCTCACCACTACATTAATACCGTCCAAAAACCTATTTGTTTTCCTTGATAAGGAGAAGTTTCATGTACCCGGGTTGAATTAGGCTTTCACTGCTTTGGTAAATAACACTATAGGCAGATCCTCATTCAGTTACCGACTACGATGCAGAACTGGCAGTCCTCTTTTTTGAGACTCCGTGACTTCAATCGTCCGCAGTAGTTGTCTTTGGAACAGTAATCGGACGGCCTATACAGATGTAGGGCTTCTCTGAGACACTACCAAAAGCTGCCATATACTTCACGAAAGTGGAAGACCTTCGGGGATATTCCATCGTACGATGGCTAAATAAATACTCAGGTCTGGAGACGTCAAAAGGGATAGTGTGTCAGCATACAGAAACCAGAGCCCAATTCCACCGTTACAGAGACCGAATGGGGTGGGAGAATGAGAGGAGTCGAGTACAATCGGTACGAGTGTCATTCGGTGAAGACCAATGCGTAAATGGCGTTTCATGTTGGGGACTTGAGTAGTGCGGAATTTGCAACCCATGAAAGAGGCGCTGCTGCAACTGCCAGATCGCAGTGAAGGAGCAGGGAGAGGCAAAAAAGTCGGGAACACAAATGTGAGGGTACGCAAATGCATGCCGAGTGAGTCAGCAAATCCCATCATGCATTCTGTTTGCTATGGCAAAAATACTGACATGTGTTAATCTTCGCCGTAATTACACATGGCACGTAAAACCAACGGCTACGGTCTAACGCATTACGATCCACAGGCCAGTAGTTTAAATGCCTTTCAGATCGGCTGCATTGTTAAAAGAGATGGCATTTTTAAACGTTCATAACACGGGAAAGGAGAATTCTGATAGCTTCAAAGGTTAACAAAGTACTCGTAAAAAGTGCAGAGGCTCTCTGCGTTTTCAAGTGTCAAACCACTGATCAAAAGTTTGACGATAAAAACACCGCCGTGAATAAACACTTATTTAAGTGTTTGAGGCTTGAGCGACACTATGTTTAAGAGATTAGTTGACAATAGGACATTAAAATCTGTCATTTGATCAATGGAGACCTTTATGATTAGGTTCAGTTACAGCACTAAAGGCTCCAGGTCATTGCATATGAAAAATTCACTTTGGTAAAATCCATGGATGGACGGATGGATGAAACCGAAGTGGATGAAAGGAGGAATTAACCTACCGGAGACTACATCACAGTTGATGGGGAGGAGACCGAGGGAGGAGGAGGAGGAGGCGGAGTGGAGTGTCGGAGCACCGGAGATGGACTGATTGTGATCGAAAAGGCTCAATACGTCCCCTCCCATAACACTACCACCACCACCATTCAACAGCGACTCAGCCGTCTACAACAGGCAAAAAGAAGGGAATGAATAAAACTTGTATTAGCCGGACGACTTTGTTAGCTGAGCCCTACCAAGTATCTGGTAGAACATCAAGATACTGCGGAATACAAACAGGCGCCTCATCCATGACTACTACGGTTAAGCTTGGAGCATCAAGGACAAAACGGGATCAGTGAGGCTTAATAAAAGTTGTTTTAGCCATTTAAATCCTCACTTTCTATCCAACCTTCATCAATATAATTGTTTGTAGGCGCCTAAATCACTAGCTTTCATGAACGGCCAATGTCTTGATACATCTTTCATATACGAATAGGGCTTCTCAATACCGTGGATTATTAATTCAGGTATAGCCAGTCACTATGCACGGAGGAGTTTATTTTAGACCTACACAATTGCTGGGTCTGCCTGCTACCCCAGAAAAAGTTTCTGTCCCGATTTACTAGGAATCTCCTTTTGTTTATATCTAATTCCTGAACATCGTAGAAAGTTTCGGAACTCTCGGCCAATACCATGTACAGGTAGACATTAAATATGCTGATAATCCCTATGGGGCCAAGGTCATTCCGTGCCCCTGGTGGTCAGCTAGCAGCCATGCGCACCACCACCACGTCATTGGCTTACTCATGCAGGTTGACAACCAAGACATCCGTATTGAAGCCCCAACCTTCCCTGATTATTCAGATTGGGCGAAAGGTTTCAAGCTGACGAGCATAAATGGGTACTAAAGCTAAGAATAAACACCAATGGGAAAGAACCCAATGAATTTGGAGAGAAATGGTTCACCAAAACCATTCCCCCTTAGGCAGTGATATTAAAAAGAAATGAAATCTAGGGATAGTAACAACGAGCGTAATTATGGATGCTACTGATAGGTATGCTTTCCCTTCAAGAGGTACCTGCTTCGCCTCCTTCTCTTACATCTCAGCTTCTCTCCTACCCAAATTCTCGTTTCCTCATCGCAAGGAGAAGAGAAGCACATCCAATACACGTAGGAGGAAAAAGAAAATCGTAGATGCTCCAGAGAGCATGACAGAAGCCTTGTCTGGTCACGAACTGACAGACCATTCATTGCGCTTTTTTTGGGGGGAGGGAAAATGGAAATGGTGAAGGCAGCGTCACCATTCGTTATTGCCTGTTGATCGAATCACATCACCTTCTTACTCAACTGGCTGATGACAGTTTCGATGGCTTTACTTCAAGCCCAGTATGGTGGAGGGATACAAACACACAACCATAGAAACATTCACCGGTTGGAGAGATGAAACTTCGAAAACTCAGTCAGCTTTTAAAAGTATGGCCCATAAAGCGGTGCAACGATGATGAAGGTGGATCCAACGAGCAATAAATCAACGAAGTGATGAATGCGATGAGCGGTTGGCATTACATCAACGGAGATACCTTTTCCTTCTTTGAGGAGGAGGGCGGAGGGCGGAGGGAGGAAGGCTACCTGCATACATACTTGCAGTTTGTAGGTTTTTTTTCCCTGTGCTACTCTTTTTCGGTTGCCAGTGTGCTATCAGTGCCACTTGACAGAGCGTGCAATGCATGACACCAACCACGGACGCGCTTCGCTCAGTATTTTGGAAGCAGGCAAAGGAAAATGCGGGTAGAAAAGTAGAAAATGTGCCTCTGATTATTCAAACTTCTCCCGAATTGTATCAGCCATACGAAGGGTTATTTCAATTCAGTTTGAAAACAAGCCTTTGAGGGTGGGAGAGAAAGAGAAAGCGGGTTGAATCTTACAGAGGATTGATTTGTGAGTATGTGGTCTTCGATGACAAATTTCACTCTATCCTACCACATCAATTTCTAATCCGGATCCTGTGCACATTCTTCAAATTCAAAAATCCCCACCCACCTTTCACGAATGATAAATGGCCTCATTCATACGATGTCTGGATAAATTTGGCAATGTTATTCACCATGTGCAAAGCCTCAACACCCTCCAGTCCTCTACATACACTTACATTCATCCGTTTTCGTCTACTCACACAATTCGTCTTAACGTTGCCCCATTAAGATCGACTTTATTAATCCCAGCAGAGAGGGTATTGATAGGTCGGTCATCTTACATTTTTTCTATCCAACGATTTTCTGGATCCTTACTGGCTCTAGTGCATTTTACTCACCTTCCACCATTAATCCATTGGCTTTTCAACGTGATTGATTATTCTGAAAATTCATGGCATATATATACCACCGCTCCATTTGCTCCGATACCGCTCATTTGTTTATGCTTCACCCGAGATATGATTTACGGAGTGGTGTGCACTACACAGGTATCGCAGACGAAAGGTGAGAGCAGAGGCTGTACGCGATTGGACAGTGCAATCTTTTCTACGCAATTCCCATATCAAATGAGAGAGCGCCAACCCCCCCCCCACCCACCACCACCACCACCAAGGGAGGGGGGAGAAAATGCTCTTCGACTACTTAGAGGCTGCAGGCATGACATAGGTTGTCAAACGCCAACGATAACCGACTCATACCTCCGTAAGCACTTTTGTTTTGAGAAAAAAAAAGCTGCTATATTGGTCAAATCTGCCAAGACATTGTAATTGGATCACAGGTTGGGAAGCCCTGTCAGTTACTTTTCTGACACCAAGGTTGCATGGGATGTTGAATTGTTCAATTCACTAGTGGTTGAGATTGAAGGTCGGCACAACTGGACATTCTCTTTTTCAACCGCTAAGGAATGTCGGCTCTCTCGCACCTTCACGCACGCATCCTTTATAAGACTGACTACTGCGACCGTCCAGAATGCCTTTATGCCTCTGTTGCACATATGCCATTGGAGGTGATGGTGGGCAGGTTTAAGCGTTTTATTTCGGGGTGTGCATATCACCCTTTCAGCAGAGTGACCAACCGACCAGCCAACTATCGGACCGTCAAATGGAATAACTCCCACCAAGCCTCACACCGACTAACGGCGCTATTTCAGGCAACAGGTGAATTAAAACTAAAAGCTTTTTGCCTGCCAAATAGTCTGATTTTAACGTCGCATTTGAGATCAATGTTATGAGAAAATACAAGTTCAGTTAGAGGAAGGGGAGAAATAATGCTTTGGAGACTTATAAGAATCTTTCACTAGCAACAGTAATTTTCCCGATGTCATAAAATCTGCCAGTCTTTGCTCTATGAGCCCATCATTCAGTACATAGATGTTCAAAACCGTCCCCTGTACGGCGAGACGGCTTTCTTAGTTAAACAAAGGCAAAATGGACGCTAAGCAGTTTTTCGTTGCAAAACAGGATTCTCATTACTATAATTACCTCAACAGTTTTACCACAATTTGTTATTAAGTTTCGGGAAGACTTGTTCACTGACTTGAAGTTAAATACTCGTCTTCCAGACCCATGAAATCCACCCGCAGACAGTTGCATCCCGTGAGATTCCTGAAGACGGATTTCTAATTTATAACTTTATTTGTGGGAAAATTTAATTCGTCATTCCACTTTATTTTAAGTTGCTGAACAAATTAAGTTGGATTTTCATCAAATAATGAGGATTTCTTTTGAGTGGTAGGATAGAAGCCCCCTTAGAGGAAATGTCTTACCTAGCCAATTTTTTGGCTCCTTACCTGTGGTATCCTTTCACGATCAAATGTTATACACAAGCCATTAGCCCAGCTCAAAAGGGAAGGGAGGGAAAAATTGACGATTAAACCTGTTAAAAGCATGAACCTTCAAATCCATTTGTCAGTGATCAAATGAGCAATCAAACCTTCTTCTTAACGACAGGAGAGCTGTTCGTTCTCGCATACTTACACACTACAAGCTGAAGCAACAGAAAAAGGCAATACGCTTACCAAATTCCTTCAATCCGCCACTACTAACCAACGAACGAACACGTAAGTGCGAAAATTTAAGTCAAACGGGGACTTCTGCTTTTACAGATTCCCACAAAAAGGTAATTTGGTAGTCGTAACAGGTATGTCCTACCACCACCATCAATGGTCGACGTACATTTCTTGGGACAGTCCTGTTTATACACCGTTATTTTGGTTGGCAGCCGATAGTGCTGAGAAACCAAGTGATGATGAACAAAAATATGAGCAAAAGCTTGGAACCACAGATATCCATTCGAGTAGAAGACTTCAAGCATAATCCGGTAATGATTGTTGCGCTTCCGTTTCCAGTCCACAACACAGCGGAAATTCATATGAACACTTAACCAGGAAGGAGAACATCCGGTTCTGTACCCCTGCCCTACGCATAGCTTTCGTATATCGAAATTATGGGGACTTTGAACGCAAACGTTCAAATGGGTCCACTCACTCCAGGACTGCCAGCACATCCAAGACCGGCGGAAGCCGGTTGTGGAGGCATCATTGGTGGAGGATGCATTCGCGAGACTCCATCAGCATCCGGTGAGTGCAGTGTGGCGACGGAATCAGTGTGTCCGAAGAGACCCCCGCCTTCACCTCCATTCGTGGATGTTGAGGTGATGCTCAGCGTGGAAGGCGCCTGAGCGACGGCGAAGGAGAGTGCAGCAGGGCCGGTAGCGATGGTTGCGTCCAAGAGAAGATTGCCATTGGTGGAGGTGGTGGAGCCAGAGTTTTGCGAAGCCGCCACAGAGGCACCACCAGCCTTGACAAAGGGAGTGGAGCGCAGACGGAAGGTACCATCGGCACCGGTGGATGTGGAAGACTCGGGAGCAATGACTGCTGAGTGTGCGGCTTGAATCTCCTTTAGAGACTCCTCCAGTGGTCCCATTTCCGCCAACACGTTTAGGTGGGCGTCCTTGTGTAAGCAAAAATACGCCATCATGAGGAAGTGTGAGGATAGCCATAACCGCTCAACAACGTGCACATTAAGATGTTACGAAAAATGTTGGGTAGGCTTTTTGGTTTAGTGCGGCAAAATCCATCTAGATTTTGGGAAATCAAGGCTCTTGTGCAAATGAGAAATACTTGAAAAAAAGACTTAAGCAGACATTGGAGATTTGGAAAGGCGACTCAGATAAAATGAACAACATTAACAGTCATTTTAAGCGGGGAGAAAATCCAGCCTCAAGAAAAGTTCAAAAGTTTAACTGAAGGTCGCGAAGGGATCGCAGGCCTAGTAATATTAATGACGAAGGCTGAATTTCTGCTTGGTAAAACGAGGCGGTTGAGATTTGAAAGGAGGCAGGGAGCGTGGGTGGATGTGGAGGGAAAAGACATGATCATTTGGAATTTTATAAATTAAACATTAGCTTTGCACATTTTGAGACGGAAGCGAACCTGGTAAAGAGACCAAAGTATCAGGAAAGGAAGTACCCAAACGCTCTAAGTGGAGAAAAAGGACCTTTGATAAAATTAGGCGATAGCAATTTGGAAAAAAGTTTTAAATCGTGCTAGGATGAAGCTAATCGAACCAAAGAATGCATATACTACTCATTTCAATAGAAGAATATTGATCATTGGAAGAACTTTGGAGAGTTTCCTTCGAAACTGCTACACAACGAAGACCTTAACAGACCTATTCGGCGACATTTAATATTTAGCCGTTAGGAGATGGGTAAAGTCCAAAGGGGGACACTAAAACAGTGGATCCAGGCAAATACCCTAGCAAAAGGAATGCCCCGATAAAGATGTTGACTTTCCATCAAAAGTAAAATAAGGTGAAATGCAAACAAATGAAACGTTTCAAGGGAGGTCAATGTTCAAAACCCATGGGAAAATATCGTGTTTTCAACCAAAGCAAATTAGATAATACTAAACGACAAGTCACACGAGATAGATTCCATTTGAA